TGTATATGTACCACGTTTTCTTGATCCACTCTTCTACTGAGGGGCATCTGGGTTGGTTCCATATCTTAGCTATGGTAAATAATGCTGCAATAAATATAGTCGTGCTGGTAGCTTTAGTGTGGTCTTGTTTGTGAACATGATTACAGGAACTCTTAACCAGATTTTGTTGAAATAGTTTCACACAACTGTAAAAGTAACAATCATAAAACTTAATTTTCATCAGTTTTTCCTCCCCAGTTTGTTGGTAAAAATAATTTGCTCCATAGTGAATGGGATGGAGACATTTTGGTAAAATTATCTATGATCTGTAGAAAAGCCAGAGTTGAGTAGGCATTTTAGAAATAGTTTTTTAGAACAATTTACTTTGTAACCTGGAATAATTTCATGTTATTAAGAACTTTACAGTATAAGGTCATATTTTCATATCAGCCTTTTAATATTATTTATGTAATTACAAATTCTTTTTAATGAGATGCAGCAAAAGGAAAGCAAACTTCCTAATTTACATGTAATACTACCTTATTTCTAGGGTTTACAGATTGGTACTCGAGAATTAGAAGAGATGGGAGCAAAATTTTGTGTTGGTCTAATGCGTTTGAAAAGACTGACCTCTCCATTGGAATACAATCAGCCTTCCAGCCTGCTTGACTTTGAAAATGACTTAATTGAATCAAGCTGTAAAGTAACCAGGTAGGACACAGTTGTTTTATTACACTGAATTGTTAAGTGTAGGAAAAGCACAAAGATTTTGATAATCAAGAGCAAGCTTAGAGTTAATATAATTTTACACATCTAATATTTGTCACAAATTACCTTGATAAACTTGATTCTTTCATTATTGAATGAGTTTTTAATGAAAAAAATCTATATTTTGAGTGTTTTCATTGATCTTAATGGTTTTCTTTTATCCTAAAAATAACCCTTGAAGAAATCTTCCACTTAGGTAATATCTTAAATTAAGAGGACTTAGAGTCAGGATTCATATTTCAAAAGTGATTTTCTTTTGTTGATATCCGTTTATGTAGAGAAGCAGTAGCTGTTCAATAGCCATCTGATTATATGTAATGGAAACAGTTAAGTTTAGCATCTCTTTGACTATTTACATTTGTCAAAAATATTTGAATACTCTTTTTCTTAAAAATTTAGAATATCTGAAATTTGATTAGTTCCAAAGAAATTATTTTTTTAAAGAAATAACTCATAATGCTAAACTATTAAATTTTATGTTAGGTGTAAATGGGTAAGAGCAGTTCTACTTTATCAAACATTTGGGTTTTTTTTTGTTGTTGTTGTTTTAACTTGCATAAATCATGGTAGCAGTTTTAAGTGCAGTAAAACATTAATTGGAACTCCAGCTTTTACTAATGTGATAATTTAGACAAGGTACCAGCTGCAGTTCTGAGGTCTTCCAAGTGCCTACTAAACAATGACAAGTGAATTCAAATATTGCTAGTTCTCACTGAGATTTAGAAGTTGGTTTTAATTCATGTGCTATTAATCTACAGTCCTTAGACACATTATGGTTACATTAGATAGCCCCAAATTATAATTTTGATTATTAACACTTCATAGTTCTGACTTATTAGGGCCCTTGACTATTCTCACACTGGCTGGCTATTACCTATGATCCTCATATTTCACTTTGTGGGTAGTTAGGATGATAGATGTGAACCACTGGCACCCTGCTGCAAATGGTGTGTGTGTGTGTGTGTGTGTGTGCGCGCGCGCGCGCGCGTGCGTGTGTGTGCATGTGCATGTGCATGTGCATGTGTCAGTGCCAGACTGGAACTTGAACTTGAACTCTGAGCCTGGGCTCTGTCTTTAAGCTTTCTTTTTTTGCTCAAGGCTAGCACTTTATCACTTGAGCCACAGCTGCACTTACAGCTTTCTTTTCTTTTCTTTTCTTTTCTTTTGTTGTTGGTCATGGGGCTTGAACTCTGGGCCTGGGCGCTGTCCCTCAGCTCA